AGGAGCAGGCCCCAGTACAGCCCCTGCCAAGCCCAGTACTGCCACCTGTTGCTGGCCCGGCCACAACGCTGCACTTGGTCATCTGCAGAGCAGCCAGGGCCAGCTTCAAGGGTCAGAGCTGTGGCTCAGCTGCCCCCTCCACACAGGAGCACACCTGGGGGACATGGGCCTGACCACAGCAGACCGATGCACCAGGCCAGCGCTGCATTTCTCATGCACTCTTTGGAAGGGGCGCTTCTACTTCTGCAAGTCTCCCATGCACACATAAGGGTCGCTAAGGAGAACGCGACCGAGCATCCCAAAAGCATTCTCCATGTTTGGCACAATCATTGCCCGTGAGGCATCCTGCTCCACACTTCTCCCCTTTCTCTGGCAATGACGTAACCCCTTCTCCCTAAGTCCTCAAGGTCAGCTTCAGGAAGGGAGACGGACGTCAGAAACGAAGGACAATCAGCATCTTGCTCTGAGGATTTTTTTTCTCTTTGAGACAACATCTTTTCCAATCTCCTGTTTAATTGCTAATACAGACGCACACCTTCAGCCAAAGGAAAGGGAAGATGGCGTCTGGTAGTTAAGGCAGCCGAGCCAGGAGCGCACTGGGCTGGGCTGCTGTCCTGTCGGGCGAAGGACGATTGCAGCTCTGCAGCCTCCAACGAGGCCGAACCGCAAGGTGGCTGATAACGCTGAGAGCGTGCTGAGCGGGGCCATCCTCCTGTGCTCTGCCCAGGCTCCCGAAGGCAGGGAAAGCCCTCAATTTCGCCCACCTTCAGTCTGCATCCACCCGAAGTCATCTGTGAGCACCACCCGCCCACGGGCTGGCCTGGGGGCCGCGGGGATCTCATAAGGCTCTCCGCACAGGCTTCCTGCTGGGGACCAGAGTGGTTTCTCCCCCTCCACCCTCTTGTCAACTACCTGCAACTCCACTGTAGCCTCTCTCCCCCACTGAAAACCTCCACTTTTTGCCTTCCTCCCCCTCCGAGTGAGGGAAAGTAAGCTGCCCTCCCCTGGCGCCCCCACACCTCTCCAGAGCTATCCGCACGTACATGCCCAACAAACCCACTCACGCAGCACACACAGGCAGGCAGCCTCTGGCTCCAACCGCACGCTCGGTGTGGACGATCCCATGTTGTCCAATTGGAGGCACACCGGCGCCAGACCAACGCAAACACCCCTCCTGCCCTCACCGAAAACAATACAAAGGCCACCAAAAATTTCAAGACCCGATGACATCAGTAGAGCCAGAGCCGGGTGGGACAAAGACATCACTCCATCCTCCCAACAAACCACCACACTCCGGGATATTCTGCAGTGCCCTCTGGCTTTACACAGCCCACTGAGCAGAGCTGTGTGTGCCGGGGTGTGTGAGAGAGCACACATGTGTGGGTGTGGGGGGCAGGGGGGCTGTGTCCTAGCGTCCAGGCATCAAACCTCCACAGAGGTGACCCAGTCCAGACTGCCTTCCCTGGGTAACCTTCCTCTGATGTGCCGCAAACATATATTACACGGATGGTTAAATTGGATCATTATCACCGGGTGCTTATTTGGCACACACAAAAAAAAATCATTAATGTCATCTACTCCCATTCCAATCCCCTTTTCATGAGGGCCCCTCCCCCAAAGACTCTCCAACATGCTAATCCTATGAACTGCGACACACCACAGCTTTCGGGAAAGAATAATGGTGAAAAGAAAGAAGAGAGCGGTGTGGGGAGAAGACGTGGATAATGGTACTGCATTTCCCGTATGAAGATGGGCGGAAAGGAGCCATGGTGGAGGTAGGGGTGGGGAGAGCCATAAAGGGGGATGGAACCAAACGAAACCAAGCCTTTGGTCGCCTGCGTCCGTGTGAGAGTGTGTGTGTAAGAGCGTGTGCAAGTGCGTGTGTAGATGTGCCGACTTAGCCCTCCTATCAGAAGGCTGCATCCGTGTGGCATGTAGGAAAGGCCATCGCACCACTGTTGTGTTGCAAAAAAGAAAAAAGAGCCGCAGAGCCATCAGAATCAGAATTTTCTCATCGAGATGGAAAGGGCTAGAGAAAAGGGGGAGGGGTGGAGGTAGGGGAGAGGGGGGTGTGGAAATAGAAGGCAAGAGCATGGCAGAATTGGGGGAGGATGAAGGGGGAAATTGGTGGTGGGGTGGGGAAAAATTGCATGCACACAGAGACATAAACACACACAATACCCAAACACCAACCCCACCGCTCCACTGTTCATCCAAGACTGACAACCCGTCCCCCATCTCTCCGCTGCCTCTCTGTGCCCCAAAGCTGGTGCCGATGGGTTTCTGTATCTCAGTTTTGCAGCAGTGGGCTAATTACAACCAAGCCCCCTCACCAAATTAACCCCTCCCCTCCCTCTCTTTTTTTCTCTAACAGGCCAATTGAAGAATAATGTGTTTTTAGAGATAATGGATTTTTTTCTTCCCAAGGAGCGAGAGAAAGGGGGATGCAGGAGAGAAATTCTGCAAACCAGTGACTTGCAACCTCACCTTCGTCTCCCCTCCTGTCCCCATTCCCTGTGGCATCTCATCTACCGTTTCCAACCATCCCCGTGTCCCCCAGCACCCAAAAGAAAAGACCTTCCTACCATGCACATCGACAAACACACCAACCGCCACCCAATCTCAGTAGCCGATCTAAAAACCCCAAGCATCAACCCACCTCGACACATCCTTTCCCTTATATAAGCAGCAAATCATCAACATATTCAGTAGAAACAGCATTAAAAAGAAATCAACAAAAGGAGGCCAGACCCCCTCCCGTCAAACCCCCAATAATTAATAACAGGGAGCTACCAGAGAAGCGAAGACGTGGTTGTCTCTCGAAATCTAGAATCCCTTTGATTTCTGACCCCTTCATCTTAAGAAACAATTTTTAAAAATTATTATTTCACTAGAAAGGGCCAGAAAGCTCCAGAAAAGGGCATTCGCACAGTCCGGTTGTTTTTTTAAAAAAAAAATTAACCCAGCCCTGTTGCTCACTTTAATAGCGAACTTCCAGCATCCAACCTTTTTTCCCCTCTTCCAGAAGGAAGACTGGCTCGCAGGATGAACCCCAGGCTGCAGAAAATGGGCCAAGAGCCCTTACTCTCCACTCCCAACCAAAAAGAAATCAAACAATAGGAATATCTTTGCACAACCAGCACCCGTCTGAAATGTCGTTTGCCCCAATATGACTTAGGCAGATTAAGCCAGAAGATTAAAAAAAAAATACCAGCCTGGCTATGTCTCTCTCCCCTTCATCCCTCTGCCACGTACCCAGTAGCCCTTAGGTAAACTTGCCCATCATAACCAGCAGGACCATTTTAACTTGCAAGGCGATGCAGAAGCCCTTGAATGACGGAGGGAGGCTCTACCCAGAATGGCAGATTCATAAAGGGCGAGTTCTTCGGGCTCCCCAGACCTAACCTCCAGGTGCCCCCAGATAGACTATCCTGGGTATGGAGTCACCTAGCGCACTGGGAGTTCAAATTTCCATTGGAACCTTTATCACAAAGGCAAACGGTCATCTGACCCCCGAAACGACACCGTCTTCCAGGTGTGACAAGGAGAGCCCCTCTCCCTACCAGGGCAGAGAAAGAATGAAAATGTTGGGGCGGATAGTGGTGGTAAAAGAAAACTATCTCCCCAAGCGGGAATCGCCAGAGGAAGCAGGGAGGTGACAGCTCCCGCTCTCCCAGTTCTCCTGTTTGGCTGGACTGTCTTGCTCCATCCTAGACTAGCTCAGGATGATCCCTGACCTTTGCATTAAAATAATTTTTTAAAATAATGATCACGGGAAAGAAATCCTACTTTCCCTAAACCCCAAGAATGATTATCAAAATATCATTTTCTCGCTGCATGACAATATTTCTACATTCAAATCAAAAGAGGAAGGCATTTAATGGAGGAAGGGAGAAATTTATTTTTTTAACAAGTAATCACAGGGTAAGTCACCTGCAAAGCAGCCGAGCCCATAGGTTGTATTACATCACTGGCCTCAGAAGGGATGGGTGTTGGGGAGACAGATTTTTTTTCCCCTTGTCATCAGGAAGATGTTTCTAAAGCAGTTAAGTTTTGTGGTTAAAAAAACAGAGAGGAAAAGAGCTGAAACTCTGGGCACAGCACAATGCCTTGAAAAAAAGACATCGAACCAGCCTCTAAGGTCACTGAGAGCTTGCAAAACCCACAGTGCTTACACAGAGTGGAAGTTTTCAGGCAAGCCTGCTACTAAATCATTAATATAAACAAATGGAAGGCAGAAGAGGAAGGTTCCCTTGTCACGGATCCAAATAGGAGCGCACACGCGCGCGCACACACACACTCACACACACTCTCACACTCCCTCACACACACTCCCTTTTCACCTTCTCTGAGGATGCCCACCTCCACCACAAGACAGTGGGAGTCCAAGTTGAACCTTCAGACTCAAGCACCACCTCCTTCCACTCCCTCCACCACCACCCCCAAAACCACACTTAAACACACTCACACACACGTATATACCTCAATTCCTCAACAGCTCGGGAAATCCCTGTCTTAATTCAATTTTGTCTTCTTGAGATCCTCAGAATGTCCCTTCTTCTCTTTCTCATTTGAATCAGCCCCTTCCCCAGAAATTATGATAATAATGATAACGGGGAAAGTGGCTACAACATGTTGAAAAAAGTATCTGCCCAAAATGAAGTGATGGGCACGTGTCCTTTTAGACTAACCATCCAGGGAAATAGGAGAAAGACTTTTTAAAAAGATTTAAAAAAAATCTCAAACATTCTCTGACTTTTTGCACATCTGGAGCAAAAGGACTCAACTTCCAGGAGAAACTGAAGTGGGGTGGGGGGAGGCAGTTAAAAAGCCAATCCCATGGTCAGCCGAGGCTCTCCAATCCAACATTCAGGGGGGGAAAAATCTAGGTTGGTTGCTCCCAACTGAAAACTTCTACCCTCTCTGGAGCTACCGCCTCCGGAACGGAGAAGCACCTTGAGTTCTTTCACAGCCTGCCTGCCTTTGCCCCCAAATCTTACCTTTCCCGTCGAACAGAAGATTTGGGATCTGTTTGTTTGATGTTTAATCAACTGAGTTTGCTGGGTCTGTTTCCTCTTTGGGAAGGTTCAAATTCCAGAATCTTTCTCTCTTCTTTTCCTCTCCCTCTGAGAGGGAGTGACAGGGAAGAAGGGAGGAGGGTGTTGGAGGTGCGAAAAGCAGGTCCTTGGTGGTTCGAGATGCTGGCAGCTTCGAGAGGGGAGGATACGCTCGCCTCTGCCTCTCAGTGAGTTGCATGCAAGAGGAGATGTGTAGGGCTGAGCTCTGAGCCTGAGACTGCCGGAGGAGCCCAGGAATTTCACGCACTCCAGAGCCGGCCCCTCCCTCTCCCACACAGACCCAGGCATTTAAAGAGACAGCCAGGCTGCCTGGCTCAGGGCTTCACCTCCTCCCTGACTGTTTTGCAAACAGCTGAGAAGATACCATCAGAGAGGGGCCCTCTGCAGCCCCCTAAGACTAAGGGGGATGGTGTCAGGAGCTCAGCTCTCTCCTTGCCCCAGCTTGAGAGAGGTTCTTGGTTAGAACTGGAGCAGGAATTAAAATAAAGAAAATCCTCATTTACAGCATGGGTAGACTAAGCCACTTCTCACTGCTAAAGATGCACATGTCTCATCACAGTCTGAGGGAGTGCAGAGGACCCTGACCTAGAAGTGTGCCTCAGCTTCCCTAAGTAGTCATTCCTCCTTGCAAAATCAGGGAAATTCTTGTGCATCTGGTGGAGGTCAGGGCTGTAACTAGGGCACAAATCCATTCCTTTCACAAGCACTTAGGATGGCTGTTAGGACGAGGCACAGTGCATGGGATGAGGGCTGGGGACATAAAAATGAAGGTGATAAATGGGGCTTCCCATCCAAGGGCTCCTAGTTGGGAAGACAGAGGCATAGCCCACCCTACCTCCAGGGAAGCTGTAAGCTAAGAGAGACAGAGTCAGAGATCAAGTTCTGCGGCAAACCAGGCAAATGACTCCCTTCTGTGGCTTGCACCCTGAGCTCAGGACCTAGGTAATTCCAACACACCTCCAAACTCTTCAAAATCCACCTCCAGTTTTGCTTAACTAGTCTGTGCCTGTGGAAACATTTCCCCAGTCAAGCCTAAACAAGAGATGACAGTCGGTGGCACCACACACAACGTTTTGTTCAGCATCAGGCCCTGGAGCCTCACAGTGGGAGAACAGCCCCACCCCTCTTTCTTATCCTACCTCCCCTTAGAATAGCCATGGACAGCTGTTGGGCACATGGCACATGCCAGCACGTGGGTCATCTCATTTAGTCCAGTGAAGTCGGTGCTATTTGACAGTTGTCCATCTTACAGAGGAGGAAACGCTTTGGGGAGGCTCCCCAAGATCACATACCTGGAAGTAACCAAGAATGAATTTGAACTCAGGTCTGACTCCAGAGCCTGCCTACTCAACCACAGTGCTATCATGCCTCCCTTCCCTGGGGAGTGGTTCTTACATTTCTGCCTTTTATTGGACATTCTTCCAGCCAAGCCAGCATTGCCCAACCCAGCAAATTTGATAGCACATGTACTGGGCATTGTGCTCATAGGAAACAAAATGAGTAAGTCAAGATCCCTGCCCCAAGGTAGCCACTATGCTTTGGAGGAAGACAGAGGTATATCCCTAAAATGCAAGGGGAAAATAACAAGCAATGTAAAGGAAGCTTGTGGGATTGCCAGGATTGATTTGGAGATGGGAGCTATCAAGGCAAGCTTGATGATACAGTGGCGCATGGGTTGGGCTTGGATAGACACGTGCAATTCTGGCATTCCCAGCCTACTTCGCAGTCTGTTTTACCTTTACCTTTCAGTTCATAATCTCATTTTCTTATCTGGGTCCCCTATCTTCAACACCTCCATGGTACTCATCACGTATTATGAACACAAACAAACATGCCTGACAATTTCATGCGTGACACCTGCTGATGTTAGACCTGCCCTGCCCTGCCACCTGATTGTATAGGTCCTCCTTACCTGGCCTTTTATGAAGCCCATACACCTTATTTGTTCTCAGCGTGTGGAGTTCATAGGATCAAGGGCATGGAGTTGGGCAAGCTGTCTGCAGCTCCTGGGGAAAGAGCCATGCAAAGGAACCACCATGATCGAGCAGGACATTGAGAACAACCAGGACAGCTGAAGACTCACCTTTGAGAACCGCAGTAAGGGACCTAGGGGACATGAGGGCATCAGCCCAAAGGAAGAGCCTGAAGACTCACTGCCCTACAGGTAGGTATCAGCCCCCTTAGAACTCCTCTGGCAAACTCCCAGACCTGGAAGGACATCCCCTCGAGAAGTTCCCCACACATCTGCAGTCAACCTAGAGGTCAGCACACATATCTGGATTCCAACCGCAACTTGGCCACCTAAATTCCATGTGATTTGAAGAGTTTTCTTTTCCCTCTCTTAAGTCTCGCCATCGTCACCTAAAAAATGGAGATAATAATACCTGGACTAACTCCCAGGATTGTTGGGAGAATGAAGTGATAAAATACACGCAGGACACCTGCCCCACAGAAATGCTTAACTAACATCCTCTGCCTCTGCCCAAAGGCCTGCCTCTGCCCCTGCACAGGATTATTAATTTTGGACTGCCCCCTATAGTTAGCATTCCCTTATTTCATCATTTCAGGTTTAATATTTTAGCTTACCCAGGTATCACCACAATTACTATCATTCACTTGTTTTTAGCCCTTTTGCTTCCCAATCTACTCTACCTTGTGTATTTTGAATATACTGGTTATTATCATTTCATTCCATTTAGTGTAGATGTGGGCTTCTTAAGTGTTAGTTATCTTGAAATTACTTCAGTGTATCCTTTTAGTCTGCCTTTTATCATGAAATCTCTGGTCTCACTTTACTCATTCCTCCATAGCAATTTAACTAACTACCATTCTGCTCACTCCCAGTGATCCAGTGTTCCCCTAGACAGCTCCAGATCGCTGAGGATGGATATGTACAAAGTAGCAGAGAGACAACTTCAAAGACAATAAGGCAGATCTCCTTATGTGATGCAACCAGAAGTACAAAGCAATAGCAGGTGTTTGCCCAAATGGCAGTGCCAGGTCAGCCGTGACATTGATTTTTTTAAGGGAAGACTCAATGGGACAACTGAAACCTGTGAGAATGGAGGTTTCAGCGCTCGCCCCTGTGTCCTTCCAGCACTCGCCCCTGTGTCCGGGGCTGAGGGGGCCATGATCTGAGACCATTAAGCTAGAAGCTTCCCTTGTGGGCCCACCTTCCTTCCCTGGGCTGTGCGGCTTTTGCCTTCACTCAGTTCATGGGGAGAACAAAAGCGGGACAGGTCTGTTTCAGTTTTTCTCAAATGGACCACACCAGCACTTTCAGGATGAAGCAAGGAGCAGTTTCATTCCCACTCCAAAGGATAACTTGTCCATGACATTCCGGGAACATAATAAGTCAATATAATGATGATAATGACAATGCATCACCCTGTTGGCCACCTACTTGTCAGCATCATGGTTAAGATCACAAAGCTCTGCCAAGAGAACATTGGGGTTCAAATCCCAGCTCTACCATTTGCTGGCCATTAGAGCTTAGTCAAGTTACTAACATTTCAAGCCTCAGTTTTCTCATCTGTAAAATGGAAATGATACCATCTTCAAACATATCCTGTGATGATTAGATTAGAAATATCTATAAAAAACAAATGGAAAATTTACAATAAAGAGTATTAGTAATTATTATCAGAGTGGATTTAAAATATTTAATATCTAAAATAGTACATGCAGTAACGAATCAGACCAGAAGCTGACCAGAAGCCACTGGTGTTATTACCCCCTGCCAGGTACTGAGGTAAGCACTTGGCATGCACTAATGCTTTAACTCATTTAATCTTCACAGCAAGTTGACTGTATTGTTTTATTTATTGAAATATATTAAGTTGCATATTTATAAACATGACTATACCTATAAAATCAGGGTTATAGGTAAACACCCCTAACGTACACATTCTTGTTGCTCTAATGACTCTTGTATGTGAATTTCAAGGGTTGCTTTAGCTGGGAGGTTTTTTTTAACATCATTGTAGAGGTTCATTCCTTTAGTTACTGATTCTTTCAATAATCTTTGGAAGATAATGATAATGGTGAATGGACTCAGTTTCTTTATCCATTAAATGGCTGTACATACTGTTCTTCCTTTCTGAATTCTACCCCAACCAACCCTGGGAATATCAAAGGTTTCTCAAGCCAAGACCAAGTCACTAGAGACAAGGTCTTAGGTCCCCACACACTTTACTCCTGAGCAGATTTCAAATTCAGCCTCAAGAGGCGTTTGGGTAAATTGCTTCAAGCCAATAGCACTTGAGGCTGAATTTGAAATCTGCTCTTCTCTCCTCTCCTCCCCCAGAGCTCTGCTGCACGGCTGGCACTGTCAAAAAAAGCTGGAGTTTATTTAACTTTCCATCACCTACATGATGATGTTTCCAGTGTTATTAATAAGTGACTGCTTATTAATTAGTATTATTAGATATGCACCATGCAGTGCAGACAGCACCACAGAGGGGCCTGGCTTCTTCAAGGAGAGGACCTGTACAGAAAGAGTTGTCCCTGCAGCCAGTGAAAGGACACAGGGAGCCAACAGCAGCTCCCCCTGAATTCTATAAGCCAGGCACCTGATCAGGAGAACTGTGGCGTAGGACAAAAGCAGAACAAATGAATGTAAGATCTGCAGGCATGTGAGGGCATAAGTCCAAAGGGGAGCCTGAGCTTTCCTGCCTTGAGTTGGTTAGCTCCCATGGAAGGTTTCTAGCTCCCAGCACCCATTCCACCAGGGTATCAGCCACCCCCAAGAGGATACAAGAAAGGCTAGCTCCTAGGAATGCTAGAAGTCTCCAACTTTCATCAGCAATGGGGAGCTCTCTACCCTCACTTTCCTTTCCTACCTATTTCATTGAAATAAGAAGCCTCCCAGCAGGCTCCCTGAATTTGGCAGCCTCTTGCCAACTGAGAGGAACCAGCCCTCAGGGCAGGACTCCGGTCTCCAGCCTCAGAAGATCCAGGCTAGGATGTGGAACGGTATCCTTGCTCCTGCATCATTCTCCCCGAGCACCCAGGAGCAAGCAACTTACACTAATAATGACAGAATATCTCACCAAAAAACTTTACCAGAAACAAATCTGAGAAGGAAACTATCTCCTCCCACTCTGATCATTTTCAGAGCAATTTAAGATTTCCTGCTTGGGGATCAAATCTTAACATGGTCCAGGTATATTTGGAGTATTTAATGGGTTTGAATGTTTGAG